CTTCGAATCCTCCTTATTATCTTGCTAGTGCTCCAATGCTGACAAATGCCTGCAGCTGTTTGAGATCACAACTGACCTCTGTTACCCCCTTGGTTCTCCATTTCCAAATCAATTTGTTCTGTTTGGCTTAAAGCTTTGATGTAAGCTCCCTTGTATGAAGGCTCAGTTTTAGGATTGGAAAGGACTCAGTAATTGATACTCTACACATTGTGCTGGGCTCTCCATCTCCGTGCAAATTCAAGCATGGCAATTCTTCCAAAGGATCTGCACAAAACCAGGAAGGAGTTATATCAGGGGATCTCAGCTTGTTATATACTCATTATATGTAAGTGACTCACTAGACAATTGCAACTGCCCTTATAATTGGTAACTGAGTAGGAGCTACACTGGCTTGCTACTTTGCGCTTATCACACAGGAATAGTCTTTGTTAGACAGGTTCTCTCACTCTTCTTACCCTGCTACAAGCATTTTGGCCAGATGTGCAAGCTTTCCCAGGCCAGGCCAGCCACCAGAAGGAATTCAGTAGCAATGGAGTGCCCTTACCCTGGCACAGCAGGTTGGTAGTTTGGTGTGCTGGCACTTTATTCCTTTTTCCCATATGGGGCTATCTATACATTGTTACAGTGTCCTCACTTGGTTTAAATGGAATCAACACCATGAGACTATATTTTGTATGTGTTTGCGAAAAGAGTACTAGGTGAACTGATGCACTACAATTTCCTGTGTTCTAGTTTAATTCAAACTCCTGAGAGTGTAAATTTACTGGGTTTAATGTTTTTGTCCCTTCTGAAAAAAGGCAACACAAATCGACCCATCCTAAGGATTTTAAAAGAGAATTAAGATATTTGTACATTTAAATTTTTCCTCTTGATGTTAACTTTAAAAGATCAAGGTAAGTAATGAATTTGAACCACTGAAGGCAAATTTTAAATTAGCAAACACAGCTGCCAACTGGATCATAATAATCCGTCACCATAATCTTTCAGTAATTCCTTTGAGTTATCACTGTGTGGTTAGTAGGTTCATCAAGAAACATCCAGAAGATCAAACTCAAAGTATACCACTTTGACTGCCACAATGTAGAATGATAGAAGTTACTGATGTATTTAATGTATTTATTTTCCCATGTGAAAAAGTTGAGGGAATGAAAAAGGCTAACACGCTACTTCTTCAGAGAAGCAGGTTCCAAGCACAAGCTATTCTGCACTTTCACAGGATTTCTCTGATGAAGATCATACTTCATCAAGGAAAGGTTCTACACAAGAACAGGATAGATTAGGTTCATTTCAGTCTGGACTGTGCATAACCAGCACCTGTATGGAGTGCACTAACTACTGAAATACTGTTTGTGAAGGTACTTTTTAATATTAGAGCTGGTCAGAAAAGAGAGCTTGCAGTCCACTGGAGATTGTAACATATTCCGCCTTCTCAAATGAAAAGGATTCTAAATTTCTAACCATACATTGCAAAATATTTTGATTTGGAAATGTTTTCATAATATTGAAAACATTACATTCTACTGTGTGGAATATCATATACAGAAATAAGTATATAATAATGACACAAAACTTAAATTTGCATGTTCTAAGACAAGACTGTATAACATGACAGTATCATCATCAAGTTTAGTGTGTCCATAAATGGGTACCAAACATAACAGTCTGGGACATCCTTAAAACAACCATCATGGTTGCTGGAGAGCATGAGGGAAACGGACTGCAAAAACTGGACAGACTCTTCCTAAATATCATCTATAGTGCCACCACAGGAGACAGAATGCTGTGCTACATGGACCATCACCCTAACTTAGCAGGGCATTGCAAATGTTCTTGAAATGTTCACGTACACACTAGAAGAAAATAAAAAACAACACCTGAAAACAATACTTTATCAGTCTTCTTGACATTCAGCACATTCAAAGATATGCATTTCTATAACTTCTTGGCAATTCTCTCCACCTTTCCAGAAATCAGGGGTTTCTACAAAATGTTTTGAAATGACAAGACTGTATTTTTGGGTGGGAAGTCCCTCCATCCAAACCTTACCCAATACCAAGTTAAAGTTTTAACTCACTGAAACAAAATCTTTTACTATAAAAACAATGCATATTCCCTCTACTGCTTATAAAAATATACTGAGAACGATAAAATATACTAGCTTATTTATGTGACTCACAAACCCAAGTCCATCTCAAATATGGCATGCATAATTAGGTGTCTTTTGAAAATGGACTGAGATGCTCCTTAAAGTTCTACCTGATCTGTGTTGGAAATGAACTATAGAAATATCTTGCATTATGATTCTCAGCATACTCACTTGTAGAGCCTGACATGATTTACCTCTCTGCTCTATCTTCCATTAGCTATTTCCAACTGTCTCAGATCTATTCTCTTCTGAACTAACATTCAGAGCAGAAAGAAATGGGCTATAGCACACTCTGCCATAGCTGTGTCATCATGCTGATACCTACTGACACAAAACTGCTAAGCTGATTCATCCCAAGTATTACACTCAAGTGGTTTCTTTTCAACACAGACTCCATAGGCCAATTCCTTCTGCCTGCATCTCTGGACACAGGTCACAAGGCCCTCCAGCAATATTCCTTATTACAAATGAGGTTAGAACGGCACCCACACAGGAGCAGGTGTTCAGCCTACAGCGAGAAGGGCATTTCTGAACTAAGTCTGTACAGATGTACTCCTGTTTCACTTTCATTCCTGTAGGTGGATTCCTTAAAAATGCTGAACTGAGAAAGTTAGGCTACTTTATTACCAAAAAATGCTAATCACACTAAAAGCTCTCACATTATTAGTTTTTCCCTAGTTTTTAATTATTTGTTAAAATTCATATCCTATACTAGTCTCAGATTTAGGTCCTCATGTGTTAAGATGAACACAGTGTAGTAACTTTACAATTCTCCTATAAATACTGTACCAGAGCGTCACACGCAGAAGTGCGTGATGTAGAAAGGTCGCTTATTTTTCCAAGTAATAATTTTGCATGTTTTTTTAACTGATTAGATCTACACTGAAAGGTTAAATCAAAGTATGAGATTGACTATGTATCTTTTGTTACCTTATTATATAAATAATATTTCTTTCTTTTAACAGAAAAAGTTAGTGAACAATAGCTCCTACTCTCTCAGAAGCGTATTGCCAGCTCACAGCACTGCAGCTCCAAAATACTTTACAAGATCAGTTAGGTAATCTGCACATTAGCACAGAGATGGAGAACTACAGGAAATAAAATGAAATCCAGATTTTCAGTAGAAAATGAGGAATTTAAATTCAAATTGGAAAAAAGTTTTTCTATGAACACATGTGCTATTAGGCAATTATTAAGTGAGGACATTCAGAAGAAATGTCATGTTTACCCAGGATTATTCTGTAACAGATAATTTCAACCATTCTGAAGCAACTGGTTTTGACTTCTATAGACAAAGAAACTGTCAGATGATCCACAAAAATAGGTCAGCTCCAAATTCCACTCAGTTGTAGCTAAATAACCTGGTTTAATGATTTCAACTCAGAGGACAATACACTCAACCTGGATTGCGAATGCTGCACTGTAGACATATGCCTTAGAGTGAGCAGCAAATGTAAGTGTCAATTTTAGTTAAAAATGGCATGTCCAACTATCTTGTCCTAGAATTACAGGTTCAACAAATACCAAATCACGTAAGAATAGATTTCTTTTAGAAAACAGATATAAAAAGTAGGGTAGAATATTTCACACCAAGACTGCAATAATCTCATCATAACCCCATCTGAGGTCTTTTCCAGTATTCAGAATGGGTGGTAATTTATGAGGCCTGATGATTTTATGATAATTCAAGTATTTGGGACTGAAATATCTCAAGAATCCTTTACAAAATTATAGCATAGTCTTTTTAGCTATTTGGTTGGTTTTGGCCTCAAAACTGTACCTCAACCACTTACCTTAGCCTAGTTCAAACCTGATAAGCCTCTTTTCACCAAAACCCAAATATGATCAACAGCTACTGAAAACTATAGGATACATCATAAAATCATCACACTGTATATACTAAAAAAGATGTAAGAATTGGACAGTACAGCTGATATAACAAGTGCTGAAGACTGAATTAGGAAAAAAGAAACCTGGCAACAGTATTTCTTTCCAGACTGCCCTGCTGTTGATATATTGCATGGGACACGTTTTAAAGAGCCGAGGATTTTTTTCCTCTAGGAAAAAATTATTTCATAATATCTACATATATGAATTCAAACACTCTATAGAGTAACTTTGTTGGTAAACTACAGCGGTGGCTTTAAGCTCATTACTAAATGCTGGGTTTTGGCATCTATCACAACCTATTCCTAGTGGAATTTAAGAAACTTTTCCTCCTTGACATCATTTTGCATTCAGATACAATGGAAGCTGTTTCAGATCATGCAAACTTCAGTGTTCTACACTGTTTGTCCTTCTGGTCTTTGGGAATGAAACCACAGGCTAGGTGCTGACTGCAAAAGTCCATCTTCATTTCAGAATCACACAGAATTTGCAGGGATTATTTGTAGCTTTTTTGAGAAAAGGAGATGAGAAAGATCTCTCCTTGGTATCACACTATGCAAACCTAAATTTCAAGACTGGATTCCCTTCTTCAGGGGAAGAAACAGTTCTGAAGTTAAAATGCTCTTTTATGATAAAATAAATAAATTAAACCCAAAATGCAAAGCAATGGAAGTGGACATCTATGAAAGCTAAAGCAGAGACTAATTGCCACCTTTATGAATTTAGACACAAATATATTGTTAAAGCTCAACAAAACAGAATTGAGGGGATGAAGATATCTTCATTCTGATAAACTGTAGGACACCTAAACAGCTACTGTGAAAAACAAACTGCAATGGCCTGTAAACCTGCACACAAGCTGAAAGGAAGGTGACACTTCAACAGAGGAATCCATTCCATGACAGTTTTCTTTCACAGATACTTTTATTAAAAGGAAAGCTTCAACAAAGTCACCAATGGAATTCACACACACCAACTGAAATCTATTGATTTCCATAATTGTCCAGTGACAGAAAGCATCCAAGACCATTCCTCACACTCTATACTGCCACTTGCACATGTACAGCTTGGCACGCAAGAGTAAATATAATACTTACTCTCCAGATGTAGGCTTGTGTTTTTCACACTAAGAAAATAAATCATTGCAAAATATAAAAGTTAAAATATAAACACTTGACTCTTTCCTCACAGTCTGTTCTATCCGGGCTGTTTGGCATCTATTCTTTACAGGCCAGAAGTTTCACAGATGGAGTTTCAAATGCCCAGCAGACACAACAGAAGCTAGATTTTCAATGATGCTCAATGCACAAAGAGCTGGCACCTTTTGATGTCAGTCTAACCTAATAATTTATTATGACTTCCAATGCAAACTAATCTTAAAAATATCTTCCTAATGCAAGTCAGAAGAATTTGGAAAAGCTTTTAGAACTTCAACATTTCTTTAGAGCTTGTTTCCAGGACTAGACACCATTATTATCTGATATATTTGGCAGGAAATTTGTATTCACTTAGCTGAAAAATCATAAAATACAACCAATTCTTCCATCTCATTCTTACCAAACACTGATCAAACCTTAGCAAAAGCCTTGATTGTCATGAAAGGCACATTATTCCTTGTTAGAGACCTTTTTGTTTGTTTTCTTCTGTGGAGAGGAAGTGTTTGCAGAATAGGTTATAGTGAATCTATGAAAAAAGGAATGATCAAGCTCTTTGCTCCAAGATCAGTCAAAACTAAAGACTGAAACACACAAATTACAGGCCTAACCTTGGTCCAACTCCATTTGAGGAAATCCTGCTGCTTTCAACAGTATATGGCAAATGAAAAAGGGCAGTAGCCTTTTTTTCTTGGCTGATTTGTCTATTTGTGCATCTACTTGCACCAAAAAAGCAATTAAATTCATTATTTTCCATAATTTCAATTAGAAAAAGAACATCAACATAGTGGTTTCTTTAACTGTTATGTCGTACCATAGTCATATTTAAAGAAATGCTACTGCGGGAAGATTCCTATGACAAGCCTTTCACCAATGAAAGATTTCTGGTAGCAAATCCTATGAAGCCCTATTAGAATTTATATCCTAATTCTGAAGGCACTGCACTAACACTTTAATATCAAAATAATAATGCTGAACTCAGAGCAGATCATCAATTCAGAACACTTAAAAGTATAAACAACAGTATTTATGACTTCACATGCAACCACTCTAAAGAAGAACCTCAAAAAAATTACTTGCATCTCATTTATTGAGTTTATACTCAACACAGGAATG